CGAAGGCGTGTACTTTATTATTGAAACGTATGTCTCCACTGTAAAGTGGCATTCTTTATGTAATAAATGCGTTTTAACACAATTCTATCAAATCGTTGTCTTGCTCTGTTCGACACAAGGTATTACACTCGGTGAAATAGGATATGTCTACTTTCCGGCCCTGTGACCTTTACTAACCATATATAACGTAGTTTCCGAACTTTTAGCAATCATCAACAGGCTATTGATGTGCTCTCCAAAAAAATGGCCACTATGTTTACGCTGTATTTGGACGCATACAATTCTATCGTCAAGACCACGTTGCCAACTATAATGTTCTATACTAAATGACATATAAATCCGAACACCCAGTTTAAATGGTTTCATTTTAATAAAATTTTGTATAAGTACTTAATGAAGCATAATAAGTAAATGATATAAATTTCAAAATGATTGCACTGCTTTATAAAGCCCTTTGACCTTTAATAATGTGTGGATGCACCCTGATGTGCTACGCATTCTCCAACGCGCCTAGGCATGCTTCTGATCAGGTGGTCAATGTCCTCCTGTGGTATCTCATTCCAGGCAACCACCAACTCCTCTCGAAGTGCTTCTAGAGTCTGAGGAGGACGTTGCAAATTGAGCAATCTCCTACCCATCATATCCCACACGTGCTCAACTGGGGATAAGTCGTGAGATCTTGGTGGCCATGGTAACAATGTGACATCATTATGTTGAAAGAAGTCTATTGTGACTCTTGCAACATGTGGTCGGTCATTATCTTGTTGGAAAGTTGGATCTGCCAGGGTGTCAAGATAGGGTAAAAGATGGGGTTCTAGAACTTCGTGGATATAACGCTGCGCGTTCATGTTACCTCTGATGAAGATTAAAGGTGACCTGGAACCATAAGCTATAGCACCCCAAGCTATAACTCCAACAGTGTGATGAACATGTCTTTCAACAAAAAACTGTGGATTCCTCCTTTCACCACGTCGCCTTCTAACACTGGCACGACCATCGTGCATGCCTAAACAAAATCGAGACTCGTCACTAAAGACAATACTGTTCCATTCCTGATCCCAGAGTGACCGTTGTCTGCACCACTCAAGGCGATTACGTCGGTGTTCTCGAGTTAAAGGGAGGACTCAGTGTGGCCGGTATGAAAACAAGCCAAAACTTCTCATTCGCCTCTTCTCCTCCGCCAACGTTGATTCTTTACTGCGGCTGAAATATTCATTTTTAGAGCGTTAGTGAATTAAAAAAAAGCAGTATAAAAACCGGGTGTTCGGATTTATATGTCACTTAGTATATTAAAAGAAAATTTTAATCTGTAGATATCTGAATCATATAACAACTTTTTGATATATATATATATATATATATATATATATACGTCTGTTGTCATTGTTTTTGTTTGTTTGTTCTGTGTTTTTTCTATATCTTGGTATATTAGTTCATTCAATTTTTTCCACAAAACGTTTTCTCTTGTACTATTTTGAGTTCCATAATTGTATTTTCATTCTTTTTAGCCCTAAAAAATTCGTCAAATAAACGCCGAAATGACTATTTTTAACATTTTTTTTATATCCCAATTGGTTGAACAAATTATAAGTTTATGTTTCAAGTAAGACTGGAGTAATTCCTTCCAGAAGTAGTAAAAAAAAATTCTATTTTTAATCTTAGATCGGTCTGCCCTCAACCTCTCGCGTAAGTAATTCTAAGATTTCGTATTCGCAGAATCTCTCAACGAACGAAAAGGAAATCCATTCCGGTAAGAGATGAGTAGCAATGCTGACTCCTAAAAGCGATGTTCGACAAGTATACCAGGTGTCACAAAAGTATCGTATAGGCCTTGTAGCTTGCCAGGCAAGGTATTTTTGAAATAGGTCAATGCCAGGTTCTTATAATATTGAACAATGGGTTCAATGGTGACCTTTGATTTGACCATGCTGTTAATTTTTTTTTCAATTATAGCAACCTATTTAGAAACCGGTGACCAAAGAACGAAAAACTCTAGATGTATTAAAAATCTAAGCTCCATGTCACCTCTAAAGGATAAATGAAGGTCAGATATTCAGGCTATATAAAGGTCCTAGCTTAGTAGGATTATTGGTGAAACAATCAAGATCGGACCTTTTGTAACCTTAAACAGAGATGTTAATATTGACCATGAATTGGGCCTTGTGCCTCATGTTCAAGGTCATAACAACAGTTGAAGCAAGAAGTATACCTTGAAATGACCTTGAAGGTGAGGTTCTACATTGAATCCTGCCTTAAAGTAAGTAAAGACCTGAAGATCCAGGAATTTTTCTTAGCCACACATATTTGACATTCATTTGACGTTTGGCGTCGGATTTGATCATAGGTTTTTTAGACGTAGAGTTGTCCGACTCTTAGCTTGCTGATGTCAAAAAGGATCTTTCTATACTAAGTGACATATAAATCCGAACACCCAGTTTAAATGGTTTTATTTTAATAAAAGTTGGTGAATGTATTTATCTTACTGTAAATAACAAGTGAAAAAATTGTCAGCCTTATCAGTTGGACATTCCGGTTTTTATACTGCTTTTTTTTAATTCACTAACGCTCTAAAAATGAATATTTCAGCCGCAGTAAGGAATCAATGTTGGCGGATTTTGGTTCTTGACATCTTTTACGATCGGTTACGATGCCTAGAGTACGGAGACCTGTACGATTTCGTCAACTTAGTGAGTTTGATAGGGGCCGTATAGTGGGACTTCGGGAAGCTGGACCTTCTTTTCGGGCAATTGCAGTTAGAGTGCAAAGAAGTGTAGACACTGTGGTTAGGTGTTGTCAGGCATGGCTTCGAGAAGGCCGTACGCAAAGAGCAAGGGGCACTGGACGCCGCCGTAGAACAACAGACCGTGAAGATCGCCGCCTAAGATTATTGGCCTTAAGGGACCGTTTCTCCACTACCAGGTCCATTGTAAATGAATGGTTTGCAGAACACAGAAGACCTATTGGCATGCGAAGTGTTTACCGACGAATGAGAAGTTTTGGGTTGTTTTCATACCGGCCACACTGGGTCCTCCCTTTAACTCGAGAACACCGACGTAATCGCCTTGAGTGGTGCAGACAACGGTCACTCTGGGATCAGGAATGGAACAGTATTGTCTTTAGTGACGAGTTTCGATCTTGTTTAGGCATGCACGATGGTCGTGCCAGGGTTAGAAGGCGACGTGGTGAAAGGAGGAATCCACAGTTTTTTGTTGAAAGACATGTTCATCACACTGTTGGAGTTATGGTTTGGGGTGCTATAGCTTATGGTTCCAGGTCACCTTTAATCTTCATCAGAGGTAACATGAACGCGCAGCTTTATATCCTCGAAGTTCTAGAACCCCATCTCTTACTCTATCTTGACACCCTGGCAGATCCAACTTTCCAACAAGATAATGCCCGACCACATGTTGCAAGAGTCACAATAGACTTCTTTCAACATAGTGATGTCACATTGTTACCATGGCCACCAAGATCTCCCGACTTATCCCCAATTGAGCACGTGTGGGATATGATGGGTAGGAGATTGCTCAATTTGCAACGTCCTCCTCAGACTCTAGAAACACTTCAAGAGGAGTTGGTGGTTGCCTGGAATGAGATACCACAGGAGGACATTGACCACCTGATCAGAAGCATGCCTAGGCGCGTTGGAGAATGCGTAGCACATCAGGGTGCATCCACACAGTATTAAAGGTCAAAGGGCTTTAAAGCAGTGCAATCGTTTTGAAATTTTTATCATTTACTTATTATGCTTCATTAAGTACTTATACAAAATTTTATTAAAATAAAACCATTTAAACTGAGTGTTCGGATTTATGTGTCACTTAGTATATTTGAAAAAATATTGTTGACCTTGAAATAACTTTGAAGGTCAAGGCGAATTGAACAACTTGCTCAAAGTGTAGACTTGACCTTGGTCTTTTCCAGCAGTCTAATACTTTTGTTACGTCTGGTACACTTTTGAGCATAAGCCGGATATTTGTTGCTGCCTTTGCGCAGGCACAGCGTTCATTTGACCTCCAAAAACAGCTTTGACCTCTGACTTTTCGGACGTAGAATTATCCGTTCTTTTGCTTGCCGATGTGTACAAAAGGGGCACTCCATTAAAAACAAATGTCGACCTCGGAATAGCTTTGAAGACGAGGTTCAAGGTCAAATTGAACGACTTGCTCAAAGTTAGTATAGACCGGATCTTGGTTTTAAAATACCTTACTGTTGTTTGTACCGCGGTTAGTAGGTTATTTGTTACAATCTTTGGCATCGATATATAATTTTGGTCCCACTGGGCTATGCTATAGTGATTCAAGTCAAAATTGAGAGCGAAACTTTTTGAAATCGGATATTTGTTGAGCGGAACCTCAGGACACTCTCGCTAGGCCCGCCGCTGTACATTAAATCTTAATTTGAGTTTAAGTGCTTTGCCTTGATAGTCGAAATATTTATGTTAGTGTCAGACGAGTCATAAAACAGCTTCGTGAAGAAAGAGGGGTGTTTACTTTGGACTAAGACCATCCTGATTCCCGTCCATACAACTTAACTTCAAGCACTACTTTTCTCAAAAAACGCAGCAAATCTAATATTTGCTAACAAAGAGTAGTTGAGGAAGCTTCTGATAAAGACGGCTTTCTCTAATATTGGACAACTGTTATAGCACTACCAGATTAGAAAGTCGTCAAAAAGATTCTATAATTTTACTTGCAAATTTCAAGCAATTTAGTTAGCATTTAAAAGTAATAACTGGTATTCAAATTAAAATATACCCTTCGGTCTCGTGTTACTCCACGCAGAAGGGCTGAATAAGAATGAGGTGGTAGCGCAAAGCAAGTACTTGATAAATGAAGTGTATAATGAATGAGCGAGCTGAGGTGGAGTTATAACAACCGACCGTCAAAGTCTCAGTGCAGTCTATATTTAGCTAAAATTAAAACGTAAATTGACTATATTGGTGATGCACCGAGTATGAACAATAGAAAAATAATGAGTTCAATAAACTCTCATGTTACATGTCTTCCACTTTGAACTATGACGTAATTAGTCGGATTCTATTCTATTCTAAAGTAAATGACCAGTAGAGAAAATTATCCTAACCTGAAGCGGACCTTTTATCTCATTGCTTCTGCATTCTCTGAAACTTCATTATTGCCAAGTGTAAATAGTAGCTTAGCAGTCGCTATTTTCGCGTTGCATGTTGCTTGTTTGAACCACATCATTTGGTTAAGCCCACTATCCATCATTTTGTTGAAGTTCCTTCTCAGGAGTCTTGGTTTGACAAGTGATTTTTTGAAAATGTTTTTATCAGCATTTCGTAGTATTATTTATAAGATGAAGACAAATGATGCTTAATACTGAAAAGTAATTTTTATATTCTTTTAAGTCATACTTTCTGCTACTTTGCATATTTTTAAAGCCATAATTTTCGACACATGCCTCTACGATTCTCAAAACAGCCAACGGAAAAAACGTTTGGACCTTGATGAAATGGCCCCAGTGTATGAGTGCATCTGGCTAGAATTATTCAAAATACCTTTTTTCTAAATAACTGTGAAGTGTTACCTAATTTTGCAAAACTAGAAGCCATCACTGAACCATTCATAAAGGCATTGATTAGCTGATTGATAGCGCGTGTCTTCAGTTTTAATCAAAATCGATCTTACACTGTTGCACATTTTCATAGGTTGATGGAAAAACGGAAATCACGCAAGTATGATTTTCCCTCATTTTGTAATTATAAGACGATGTTCCTAATAGGTGGGTCGAAACCCCGCACCCGCGGGATACATTTTCTAGCCCCGACAACCTGGTACAAATTTGCAAAAACTTGGTACATTCACCTTTAAAAATACATCGCTAGAAGAAAAATCTAAGTCGCATCTTATACGAATAGGAGTATAAAGGAATATAGAGAATTGTATGTGAGAAATTCTCTGAGCCTTCTTTTAAAAACTGTTATTGATTAGATACTCTTTAAAGATTCTGGTAATTTGTTATATAGTCTGGGTAACATAACTGTGGGACTTTTTGAAGTCAACAACAGCCTGTGAGCATTTTCTTTAATATGTGTAGCAGTTACAGACATACAATGAATGTCAGTCCTCTTATTTTTTCTTATAAGATCAGGGATGGTTCAATGGTTTTCGAGATATAAGCGCCTTAAGGTCTAATAAACCTTAAAATTTTCTACGTTAATATTTAAATGAAAAGTATTGTTTTTGCGGTTGTCAGAGATCGAAATTAAAGTTGAAGTTGTCCCCTGCAAAACTCGGAAGAATATTTTAGGGTTAGTTGATTTTAAACATGCGATTTAAATGTAAGAAACGCGCAACGGGCTAGCCCTCATCTGGATTTTTTCTTTAAATTGAAATAAAAACTTTTTAAACAAATTCCAAAGATTGTTTTTTCACTCTAACGTATCCTTAGGTTTTTGGGGCATTCTGAACAAAAAAGGTGCCTTAGAACTTGTCTCTGAAGTTGATGCAATATTTGCAAAAGTGCAAATATGTCATTTTCAACAAAAAAAAAAAAACTATTGACACAACCCCAATCCATTTCAGAGGGTATTTTTATAGTAAACCTTTCTTTTTTAATTATTAACCAATCGCCGGCTCAGTTGGTAGTCTGTGTGAGAGAACCACTGTGCTCGCTTTCAATTAACAACTGAAAAACAAAATGCTTACATACCTCCTGAAATCCTTTGGGACTTTGTCAATGGATGTTTGAAGAATCTTAAGCAACACTGACAACAATAAAGTTTTCGTTTCTTGATATTGTTTTGCAGGATCGATAATGGCATATTTCGAATTTTTGACAAACATTGTATTACTTATATCACCTTTTGTGCAATACCTTTTAGTTCAGAATGGCTCAGGTAATCCCGAAAAATTTCAACCGGACAAAAAACAACTTTTGTAATTAATTAAAAAAAAAAATACGTAGATTTGGGCCTAGCAACATGCAGTAAGAAGACATCCGAATTAGACTACTTTTTCCATCACATCAGATGCGAAGATATCGCCCGAACTATGGCGAATATATCTTCCATACCTTAGATGGATACAACTATTTAGAAATTACAATTAAGTTGGCTTGCCCTACTCTAGTGTCGATGGCGGAGAAATTTATACCAACGTGTATGTTCGTAATGAGACAGATGATATATTTATAGGAGCTTTTTTTGTTTTTCTTGGACGCACTATAATCCTTACTTGAGATGGAGAAAATCCGCGCAACATATACTCAGCTTGTACTAACTGGGACACTGACAGAGGAATCGCGGGAGAGTCGAAAAACTTACAAGTGGCAATAACTGCGTTTATGTTTTTTTATCCAGCACTGCACAAGCTTTTTATTGCCGCTTTATTAGCATGAAGTATGCAAAGCACGATGCGTGGATGAAAGTGCGTATTTTACAAGACTCCACTCCAAGACTATGAAACCACCTACGCTCCCCGTAGTTGTAGTGTTACATTTTCCTACTTGAGCGTACTATTTTTACACACCAATGAATCATTGAAGAAACTTGACAGACTCACTGTTATCTCGCGAGAAGTCCTGATATTCAAATGATAAAGAAAAATTGAAAACAGAATGCAACATGTCATGCCAACAGCAATAAAGCTTTCGCCCACACAAGAAAAATATTCACTGACATACTGTTTTGATTAAGACCTACCTGTGACTCAACGTATCACCTTCTACGACCCAATTCTTCCTCTTCTTTCACCTTGTTCACGTATCATCCCGCAGGAGCACTCGAGATCAGGTAAAACCGCCGCGTAACCGCTAAAACACATCCGCATGCCGCTGGCCTGGATTCTCTTTTGTTATGATCCTCCTGCAGGAAACCAGCACGCGTGCGTCGACTCAGCAGGAACGCCGCGTCCTGAACGACGACAGGGTGGTTATTGATTGGGCGGGATGTACGGGAAAGAAACAGGGCTGGAACAAGGGGCAGCAAAAGGGGCAGGACCGAATTGACGAAATTTTGGACGATGAAAGGGTGGTTATTGATTAGGCGAGATGCACCAGAAAGAGACAGGGTTGGATTAAGGGGCAAGAACGCAGAACGCGTGCGTCGATTGGGCGAGTTGCGCGGGGAAAAGACAGAGTTGTACTAAGGGTTAACCTAGGGGACAGGAAATTTCGGTTTCGCTTCTATTATCCTTTTCCAGGAAGCAGAGCAGGGACGGTATGTCCTGGATGATGACATACGAGGGATGTCTTTTAAGTTTTGCATATAGAAACATAGTAGGCTGCACGGATCGAACGTCAGTACTGAATGTTAACCTCACTCTTTAGTAAACTTAAATTCAAAGTTTCACAACAATACTTGCAGTGTTCTCACTACAGTGAATCCTTAAGTGTCACCAAGTCATTAGAAAAATGGAACTGAGAACATTTTCGAGCCATAATTTATTACAACTTTCAGAGACAATTATCGTAACAAGAATGCCCTGCTGAGTTACTGTCTGTTTTCGGAAACGAAGCGCCACATCAGTCGACAATTTCATTTCATGAAGTCGTTAAGTTATTGTCAATATCATTTTTATGTGCCGACGACACTTAAATTTATGCCTCTTTTAAACCTGATCTGTCAGAAGTTATAACGAACCGTCTGAATACCGACTTGAATAACCTTCTAAAAGCCTCTGAAGAACACTTGTTAAAGATAAACCCTAGTAAATCGACGGCTATATTGGTTTGTAATCCTACAGAAACGAATTAGAAAATGATATTAAGCTCAAACTAGGGGACAATATAATGTCATTTAGGGATTCCGTGAAGGATTTGGGCTTAGTGGTTGACTCTAAACTGAAGTTTAGAGAACACATTACTCTGTGCCTAAGACAAGCATATCCAATGTTAAAAATAATCTACCCCCATAGACATTACCTATCACAAAATGCTAAGGCCACGCTCTGCGAAGCTTTAATGTTGTCCAACTTTGCTGATATGGTATATGGCCCATTTCTTGATAGTGTAGAACTAAAATGGATTCAAAAAGCTCAGAATTCTTATCTGAGATTGATATCACTGATCAACAGCTAAAAAATATCCTAAATAAAATCAACAAAATTTTACTATTTTTAATGTGCTAAAACCGGAATGAAACTTATTTTTTCAATATTAGTTCAAGTTTTACAGATACGGTAATTATATGTGTTCCTGCTGTGACAGTGTTAATATACTGTAATTCACAAGAATGCACGTGCTACATTTTTATATTCGGCAAGGAAAGATGATGTAATCGGCATTATTGTGTTACATTATACATACGTGTACATTATATTGTTTTATATTAGCCATTTCTTCCTCAGTTGGCTGACAGCGTTCATGCAAGTTGTCTCGAAAGTGTGTAAACAATCCAGATCAGTTTTGTTACGTGTGTGGTGATGTGACTTTTACGTCTCAGAGACGGTCTATTACTCCACTAATAACAAAGGCATATCAGCTTTATTTCGGTTGTAAACTAGGTGATCAAGACAAACAGTGGGCACCCCACATCTGCTGTAATACATGTGCTTCAAGTCTGAGGAGCTGGTTAAATGGCAAAAAACGGTCTATGCGCTTTGCTGTCCCAATGGTTTGGAGAGAGCCTACAAATCATATTAATGATTGTTACTTTTGCATGGTACCTTGTGTTGGACAAGCCACAGGTATGTCCAAGAAAAAAAATTCGGCTATTAACTACCCAAACATACCATCTGCGATGAGACCTGTGCCTCACAGTGACGAAAATCCTATTCCAAAACCTCCAGAATCCTACACTTGCGAATCAGAAAACGAATCAGATCATGGCGATCGAGTGATTCGTCAGGAAGAAGATATGCCATCAACGTCAAGAGATCCTGATTTTATACCGAGCACGTCATGCCACCAACCGCACAAAATAACACAGTCAGAACTAAATGATCTTGTAAGAGATTTAGAACTTCCAAAATGTAAGGCAGAGTTACTTGGATCAAGACTGCAGCAGTGGAACTTGTTAGAAGACGATGTTTCGGTATGTGTTTTTCGTAAACGCCACAAAGACTTAGAACCATTTTTCAATATGGAGAATAACTTGGTTTTCTGC